AAAAAAAAAAAAAACCCTCTCAGTATATCCTCAAAGGAAAGTTTCTTTTAGGACTTAGGGGTGGAGAGGAGAAACTAACGCTGAAAATGCTTTGTCCCTCTTCGTGGGTCTCCAGGCTCCTGAGAAGACAAAACCCCACCTAATACAGTGCTTTGGACTTTAGCTGACTATTGCCCTCTGCTGGAATTTGCACGCCCCACCGTTTCTAATATTCTTTCAAGGGGAGGCAAATACGAAAGCAGCATCTACACATCATGCACATAAAGCGTTTGGAGTTAGAGACCTTTGATTCATCCAGATCCTTTGACTTTGCTTGGTGTCACTTGCCTGCCCCCCACACACACCCCAGACACATCAAAGTCAACCCATCTACAAGTGAGCACATTTCCCACATAATCCTGTGTCCCACGACGCCTCCCTGCGGCGTCCCACCAAGGAGTGGAGGAGCCACTCTTCTCCCTCTCCATTGGCACCCAGTCAGACCCTGCAGCTTCAGGGCAGCACTCACCACCCCCTGACCCCAGTCCAGCGGTGCAGCCTCTCTGCTGCTGCGCAGTCAGCAGCCCAAGGGCAGACCCTCTCTGCCTTCCCCTCGTCCCCTCAGATCCGTCCTCTATGCTCTTACCAGAGCAACCTTTGGAAAACAATAATCTCATCATTTTACAGAGCTCCCAGAGCTGTCAGGAGGCGTCTAGCTCCTCACCTCAGTATAAACGCTGCCAGTCGGCCCACCTGCATCTGATTTTCCAGGCGCACCACCACTGCATGTACCCATATGTGTGCACACATGCACATATACACGCACTCCAAGGACAGAAAAGTGACCTGTTTCCGCCATACTTCGTAATGCATCCTCCAGTTCAGGACTTTAGCTTACGTGCACTTTTACTGTGTGAACTCCCCCCTGCCCCCATCAGATCACAGCTCTAAGTCCCCTCCTCCAGGAAGCCTTCCCAGACCCTTCCTCAACCACAGTCTGAAGCCTGCTCACCCCGTGATTTACAAATGATGCCTGGAGCATTCATCAGACTTTCCTGGAGAGCTTATTTCACTACCTCAATCCCAACTGCTTGCTCTCTGGGCCAAGAATTTGGAATTCCGATATGTAAAACAACAAACAACTGATGGAAGGGCAGTGTGAATAAACTTTGAAACAAGAATAATCGGTGTATCAAGAGGATACTCCGAAGATCAGAAACGTGAGGGCCTGGCCCAGGTTTGCCAAATGGTGATCAGCGAACCCCAGCTGAATGAACCATGGAGATGGTTGTAGGTTCCATCTCGAGTTTCACGTCTTGGTTGTGTTGTTGCTGTCCCAGTACAGACCTATTCTGATCCATGCCCTAATGCCCAGGGCCCTGGAAGAGAAAGCTCTCGTCCAGCAAGGGCTAAGAAAGCTAATGACCCCTGAGGGTGGATGACAGAGCAAGTGTTCTACTCTTCTCTCATTTTAGTACGACGTCATGAGGCCCAGTACACACAGAACATGAAAATCTGCACACGCAATACTGAATCACAAAGGCCCAGAGAGCACAACCCAAAACCCCAGGATTGGTCTCTGAGCCCTCGGTTCCTGCTGCTTCACTGCACATCAACAGACAGTTGCCCAGTTAGTCCTGGTATCATCGGGGTTTGCCCGAGTGAGG